GTGGTTGTTTAAAAATTTATACAATGGCACCACTTCTGGATGAATTGAAAATGGAACTTAAAAAGTACAAAGAAGATGCACAAGAAGGGAAGGGTTCTTTTGGCTTCATTTTTCAATTCTTAGAACTTGTGGAACTATGAGAAACAACAGGAAAAGACTGCAAAACAAGAAGACTGGGATAAAGAAGAAGCCATCTTTAATGAACAAGTAATTTTATGTGGGGAAGAAAAAGGAAAGGGGGGAAAGGGAATGGAGAATTTAAGACTTAAAAAAACAACCAAAGAAAATAAAAATAATTTGAAAAATAAGTATAATACTGGAAAGCAACAGAAAAGGGGAATACAGAAGAGAGAAATAGAGGTAGAGAGACAAGGGGGTAAAAAGGGGAGAGAGAAGAAGAGAGGGAAGAAGGAAAGGAAAAGAAGTTACAAAGGACCGGAGCAAGATATAGAGAAACAGGACCTATTTAGAGATATTGGGTGAAAATCTAACTGAAAAAGAGATTCTGTAAAGGTACATAAGATTGTATTGTTATATTAGTAATAGAAATAACTTTAGAAAATTGGAAAAAACGTATGATTAAGATGAGGGATAAAATAGTTAGTGTAATTTAGTGAAATGTTTGTGAATAAAATAAGTGAAATAAAATAAATGAGAAAATTGAATTAGGAAGGAACAGGAACATTTTAATTAGTTAATGTTTTATAAAATATAAGTGAAGGGGGGGGGAATTAACTATGGAAAGCTTATAATTGTTCCCATAGAAGTATGATATTTAATTGAAAAGTAATGTTAAAGATGTTAAGACTTTAATGAATATTAATATTAATGATAGAATTGAATTGGAATGGAATGTTGTTTTAATTATATACATTTATAATTTTTTTCTTTTTTTAAGAATATAGTGTGTATTTTAAGAATGTACCAAGCAGAATCCGAATGGAAGTTATGTATTATATTGAATGTTACAGGACCTGCATCTACACAATCACTTTGCCTATCTTCCCTCCTGTACAGCCTCAACCCAATTTAAATCTTACATGAGCCTAGCTCAGGCATGTTCAACATTTTGGCTTGCCTGGGCTGTACTGAGTGAAGAGGAATTGTCATGGACCACATATAATATATATATAATTATATTTTATATAGTATAACATTAAGGTGACCATCTTTTTTGCAATGAAAAGGAGGACACGAATAAATTGAAGAAAAAAAAACAAAGCCAGTTGCATGCAGCACACTCTTGCACATGGCGCACTCTTGCGTGCAGTGCACTCTCTCAAAACATTTCTCCTGTGTGAAGTGCATGCGTCTCACAATTGCGTCTCGCCGCACTGTACCGAGCCTTGATGAATCGCCATGTCAAATACAAATACGTCATACCACACACAACGGATCGGATCGGCATCAATCAAATACAGAGATTTACAGATTAGTCTTCAAATATCAAAAAGGAGGACCTGTAGGAGGACACTTTTCAAGAGAGGACATAACTTACAAAAGGAGGACTGTCCTCCCTAAAGGAGTACGGTTGGTCACCTTAATAACATTGAATGTTTATGATTTTGTGGGGCTACATTACTAGCTATCCAGGGCCTTATGCAGCCTGTGAGCAGTGGGTAGGACAAGTCTGGTCTAGCCATTTCATTGCATCTGATGAAGAGAATGAAAGCTCATGATTTATATTTTTTTAAAAATAAAAATGCTTCCTGACTCCTCCTGATTGCTTGTTACCATATACTAACACCCTTCTTTTCGTACAATATCTACAATCTACTGTAAGTTCTGCAAGATAAAGAAGATTTCGTTATTCCCTCTTTCCTCCCAAACAAACTTGCTCAGTTTATTGTGGAAAAATGAAGGAGGGAAAATGTCTGAGAGAGCTATTATAAATCTTTGTTAATATTTATAATGTGTCACATTTTTCCCTCATCCTTAGAAGAAATATAGTCATTCTTATTGCACTTTCTAAAAATACAGTAATAGTCAGTACAGGCCATTAAATTACATCTAGGTGACCAAAGATACTCACTCCTTGTTTCAAAGTATTTGATATTGGAAACACTTAGTCACCTTTTTTTAGTTCAGATTTGCTGCTTGATTAATTTTCTTCTCTCCTTTTTAAGAATTCATGTGTGAGGAGATGCTAAAATTTCATATGGTTTGGATGGAGCAATACTGGGGGAAAGTTAGGAAGACTTAAGGTAGCCCTTCCTACAAACGTATTCTGTACTTTTCTCAGAAGTGAAAAGATATCCGGGAAATATTCATATCCTTCAGCAGGTATAGCCTTAAAAATCAAATGTCTTGTTTTTTTTTTAGTAATGTGTATATATGTGTATATATGTGAGCATGTTTTGAATGTTAGACTCTTTTCATAGCAGTAGTCATGCAAACTTTTGTGTATTGTGTTTATTTCCTACATCCGTGAACAGACTCCACAACCTTGAATTACATTTCCTGATTCCAGCCACTGATTTCAATTCACTCCTTCAAATGTATGATCATTCTATAGGTAGTTCTTCCTTACCAATAATAATTTGGATTAGTAAGTTCATCACTTAGAACTGAAGTTTTGACAGTCCCAGTTGCTGTTGTTAGGTGAATGCCATACTCTCATACTCATGTGATCTCCATTTGTGACCTGTGATCTTCCCCATTAGCTTTTGTTGTTAGAAGCCAATAAAGATCTCAAATGCCAGGGACCCTAAAGGATGCTGTGAGGTCATAACTGCAAGCAGTTGCCAAGGACCCAAGTTGTTATCACATAACCGCAGGGATGGTATGACAGCCACAAACATGAAGTCCCAACGTGAGTACCCCTTGTACAGTGTTGTTAATGTCAAAAAGTTGCTGAATGAGTGGATGCTAAATAAGAACTACCTATAGTCTATAGATCACGACTCATTATGGTAGATGAAATTTGAAAAGCTCACTGCTAATTCTATATTGCTGCTAGGATATGTTCTTGAAATTCTTTTGGAAAATATTGCAATTGAATAATATTGCTGGCAGAATTCCCTATATTTGTAGGCCTAAATACAATTTTGCAGGGTTTTTTCTTTGCAATTTTTGTCACAGATATCACGAAAGTTGAAGAGTTAGTGTCCCACCTCCCCCATTTATATTTCTTTCCAATGTCCTTTGGCTTGTTCAGGTATCTGGTAACCCTAGGCTGCACAAATCCAGACCAGGCCTAGATGGCAGAAGAATTAGCTTTCTTTATTTCTTTTCTGCTATCTAGTGGCTGTTTTCAGGCCCAGTCTGCTAGAAAAATTTCAAGAGAGCTTTTTTTGGTGGCTGTTGGTTTTTTTCTCTCCATCAACATTTAGTGTAGTGTTGGACTTCAACTTCCCAAATTCCCCATTCCATACATCTTGATCTCACTGAGGTTGAGAAAAAAGATGATTGGGGGGAGAGGAAGAGGAGTTACTGAAGGCAGGATCCCCGCTAAATATGCACCCCTCATTCATCACGATAGAAAGCATTCTATCGTTTAAGCAAAAAGGGAGGAATGAAGAAAAGTAGTAATAAGGATATAATAAATAAAAGTAGTATATATTATAATAGCTTTAGTAGAAACTTGTTATTCAAGCATTTACTTGTTATTCTATAAAATTTGTTCTCTGTAACACAAATACCCTATATTATGCCTCTGTATCTTCCTGTATTAAGGCATATCAAACATATCCTCCTGCTATCTGAATACATCATAATTCTTACCCTTGTTTCATCTAGAGACTGGCACATATCTCAAAGGGCAGACACACCTGTATTGTTAGTTCCGTGTAGCAATAGGGGGCCAAGTGGTTAATTGGGAGAACAAAGGAATGTCCCAAGGATGAGATAACACTGATGGGAAGGCATCTATCTTTTACAGGACCATGAAGAAGATGCAAATCTAGGTTAGGAAGCCGGAATTAGGGGATAATTAGGAATTATTATAATATAATAATTAGGAATTAGGGATAAGCTAATGGTATAAAAAGAATCCACATCTTCTCTTAGATGTAGCTTTTCTCTCATATCTCTTTTGTATATCTTTGGAAAGATTTACCCAGAATCTTTGCTTTGATCAAAATAAAGTCTGATTTTTGTTTTTCAAGCTTCTGTTTAAGTTCTTATTTTGGCTCATTGTGGGCTTAAGCATATTGCCAGACCTTACAAATCTTTTATCCAAAGCTGAGGCTTATTGACCTTTTCCATTGATACTAATCATAATCAACTGTATACATTTTCGCAGGCTTTGATTTAATAAGCAGAGTCCTATGCAGAATGCTCCAGTGTTAAAGAAGCATTATTGTGCTCCCTAATGAATACAAATAAAATTGTTGTCTATGTCGAGTCGAAGATCTTTTTTTAAAAAACAAACAAACAAACTACTTTCCTTGTTTTTAAACGATGCACGTTCGTGTTTCAACAGAAATAGCCTTAGGCGTTCCCTGGCAGGAAGAAATGTCGTTTCCGATATAGTTTTTGGCATCTACCGCAGTACTTAATTCCTCGTGGGAATTCTTCGTGGCAAGAAGTTTGTTTGTTGACATATTACCAGGCAGAGAAGTGGGTATGCATATCCGGAGCGGGACATCAGAAACGGAAAGAATAGACTCTGCCCATGTCCAGAGGCATTCTCGTTCCTTCTTATTTAGTACATATTTTAAGACTAATTTTATCACTGAGAACAGATTCTCCTTCAACCACAGCCTCTAATTGCTTCCCCCCCCCCCCCCCCCCCAGCGACCAGTTCGAGAAACGAGGTAAAGGAGAAAGTAAGCCTGGGAACCAGAGAGAAGAGGGTGGGCGGAGATGAAATCGCGGCTCTTGCCGCTTGAAGCCGACAGGGAGCGCTTTTGTCCCTGCCGCTGGCACCGAGGACCCCGCCTGGGCTCCGCCCCCTGCTCGCTCGGTCGCTGCCTCCGGCTCAGGAGGCTCGCACCCCCCAGGCGGCGGTTCCCTCCGAAGGCAGCCTTGTTCCGCCCTTTCGCGCGCCGGGACTCCCGGGCGAAGGATCGGCGGCGGCCGCGCTCGCGTCGGAGAGGGCATGGCGGCTCCGGAGCGAAGGGCCTTCGCGCACCGTATTAACCGGTGAGGGAACGGATGGACGCCCGCATGCATGCAAGGGCAGCCCTCTCGCGAGGGACAAGCAGAGGGGGAGGCGAGACACGAGGGTTCAGTTGCGGCAAGAAGCGTTTTTTCGGGCAGCTATAAGACCCTCGCCTCCTGAGGAGTAATCACCCCGCCCCCAATTCTTCCTCCGGTCTCCTCTTTCTCCCTAGTTGAGATTCGTGGACTCCCATTCCTTTGAGCTATCAAGGACACCCTTGCAAGAAGTCCTATCAAAGTCCACCTTCTGTGTGGACTTTTCTCAAGTCTGCAACTTGGAAAAGGTGCCCAGAGGGAGGGAAGATTTTTTGCCCTGATCATCTGAACCCAATATTTAGGTATTATCGGTTATTCAGATGTTCGTTCAAATGTGTACTCCCCAGTAGTATATTTGGTTTTCTCTGACTTGCAGATAATCAGAGTTGGAAGGGTCCTTGTAGGTCATCTAGTCTCAATGTTCTTTTTCTCCCTATTCAGCATCATCAAATAGCCCTTCATTTCCTTGCCCAGCTGTCTTGCTAAAACAAAGGGAAAGAGGAAGCACATCCTTCACTTATTTCATTGAGCATGGATAGGCACTTAATGGCAAAATCATTGTCCCCACCCTTTGAGGCAGATTTTGAGCCAGTGCCCAAAATGTAATGGTTGTTCTAGGTATAATAGTTCTCTTGTGCACATCTAAATTGGTCCATCTGGAGCTTGGTTTATTTTTAATTATTTTTGCATTGTTATCCATAGAATCAACAGGCAGATTTTTTTAAGGAGATTGTAGTCTATAATTATTGGTGGAGGAACATGGAACGATAGAAGAAAGCTGTACTTTATTATCAGTTATGTGCATTGTAATACCCATTTTCAGAGAAGGGCTCTTCAATCCTTTTCTAGGATAGGCATAAAAAAGGGAGTACCTAACCAGCCTTTACCAGTTGTATGCTTCATGAAGAGAACTTCGAATGAGTACCTCATGATCTTGGCCTTCACAGAGAAATCCCTTTATTTATTTGTTATATTTCCATTCCAGCTTTCACTCAGGAGTTCAAGGCGGTGTACATATTGCTCTGTCATCCTGTTTTTCCCACAACAACCATCTGTGTAGTAGGTTGAGCTTAGAGTGGGCTAACCTCAATCACCTAGGGAGTTCTAAAAAGAGCTTTTTACTTTGTACTTCAAAGAGCATGGCTAATAGCTGCCTTACAAGTAGTTTCCATGAAGATAACAATTTAGAAAGTTTTCTATTACTGTACAATTTGGAGTAGTCATTAATAAGGAACTAAAATGTGTGTTACATCTTTGTAAGCCTCTAATGCTGTATATAAATTGTTTATACTTCGTAAAGAAAGAAAACATGAGTTTTTCTTGTTCTGACCAGGAAGGAACTTAAATAATTGTGCTAAGGTTTTCTTTCTTTTTTACTTTTTGTTTCATTATTTTGCTTTCTTTTGAATAATCAATGGAAAGTTCAAGCAATTGTTTTTGGATTGAAACATTGAAGTTATTTATTGCTATTATCTGAATAGTTCTCATTTTGATCTTTTCCTCTTGCCGATTATTTTTGCTCTTCCTTCTTTTGCAGTTCATTTACAGTTCTAGACTATTAATTATTAGCAGGCAGGTACATATGTTCATTCTTCACTTTGGAAGGCAATGAGAGAGAGAGAGAGAAAGTGCATGTGAATGAAACTTTTGTTCTCAACTCTATTTAGAAATGCAGGTACTTATAATTTACTTCATCTGCAACATTAAGTATAGTATTGGAAACCATGCTTAATGATGGAGGGCTCTCTGAATCTAATGTGAAAATAATTATTTTGGCTTTGTGATAAGCTGTGCATAAAAAAAATCTTAGTCCTTCAGCTGAAAATGTTAGGTTTCAGAAAAACGGAATTTTGAGCTCTTTAGAAAAATTGTAGGATATAATGTAAGTATTGATTTTAAGAGGAGTTTAATATCTGATGTTCTCAGTAAAGTAAAAATTTCAGGATGTTCTTTTTAAAAAAATGATTTCCATTTCTATTGCTTTGCTCTTATGTTTCTGGAGCACTGCTTTCATTTATAAAAAAAAGGAAAAGGTTTCCCTGTCTGTCGTGAGGGTGCTTATCTCTTTTTGTGGTCATATGGCCAGCATGGCTATACACCTAAGGCACACAGAATGCTGTTACCTTCCCATCAAAGTGGTCCCTATTAATCTACTTACATTTGCATGCTTTCAAACTGCTAGGTGTGCAGGAGCTGGGGCAAGTAATGGAAGTTCACCCTGTTGTGTGGAGCTTGGGATGTCAGTTCTCCAGCTGACAAGCTCAACATCTTTAACTGCTGAGCCATTGCACCACCTTTGTCTTCATTTATGCAAAATCTATAAAGTACTTGCTAGGCACCCTTTTTTTGAACTATTACCATCTGGCAGATGATACCGGATAATAAAAACAAGGACAAATAGGCTGAAAAACAGCTTCTATCCCAGGGCACTAGGATAGTTGAATTCTATTGAATTCTACCGGGAATCAGCAACGTGCAGTTCCAGAGCTGCATGCAGCTCTTTGGGCCCTCTCCTGCACATGATCCCACCACTAGCTGGCCTCACCCTCCCCTCCCACTCACTCCTCACCTACCCTGAGAAGGGCGATGGTGGTGGATGGAAACTAGTTCCTTGGCGGGAGCAAAGCACCCCTCTACTTGCCTCTTTTTCTGGCCCTTGTTGGTGCTGTTCGCACCTCGGCCACTGGGGGACACCTGTGACTTTCTGCCCCGAGACACTGGCTGGGCCGGCTGCAGATGTTGCTCCACATGGTAATGGGCTCCAGGAGGAAGAGGAGGGGACGCAGTCTCCCCCATTGTGAAGCATACTAAGTGTGCTGCGTGAGGCAAAGCCATGGAGGCGTTGGGAGCAGCAGTGTCAGTGTCTCAAGAGAAAGAGAGAAAGTCGCGTGTCTCCCCATATTCCTCTTGCCACCTCCATAGCTGTTTGCTGCTCTTGCAGCACTTTGCGCAGCACACTTAAACTTAGCGAGGTGCGCACACAGGGGTGGGATTCTATCAGTTTGCACCTATTCGCTAGAACCGGTTGTTAACATTCTAAGCAGTTCAGAGAACCGGTTGTTAGAAGAAATTACTGGCCTAATCCTATAAGGAAGGCAGGAAAGAAACATTCTGGTGTTGCTTACAGAAACTGCCTCTCCATTAACCCTTATTACATTCTTGGCAGGACTAGACTTCCTGTATCTGGAACTTCTCTGGAGTTTTTTTCCCCTCCTTTGCTGGTACTTTGCTTGTGTGGAGTGACCATTCAAAGTTACAATGGCACTGAAAAATGAGACTTATGACCATTTTTCACACTTACGACTGTTGCAGCATCCCCAAAATCATGAGAGGCCAGGCGAGGAGATGTGTGCCTCGATGTGAATGATATTGAGTTGGTCACGCCCATCCAATAACATGACCACCAAGCCATGTCCACCCAGTCACATGACCACCAAGCCATGCCCACCAACTAAGCCACATACACAGAACCGGTTGCTAAAAAATTTGAATCCCACCCCTGTGCGCATAGCATCAAGAAGGCCTGGAAAAACAGGCAAGCAGAGCGGCACTTTGCTCCCACCCTGGAATACAGAGGGAGCCCCCATCTTCTGCCGTCACACTTCTCTTTTCAGGGCAGGCGAGGAGTCAGTGGGAGGGGAGGGCGAGGGGCAGGGACAGCCAGTGGTGGGTTCAGCCGACAGGAAGCCACAGCAAGGGGACGAAAGAGCTTCATTTGTCTGGGAACCTGAAATAATTGGATTTAAAAATGAGAAAGAAATGAGAGAAAGAGAGAGAAAGGGAGAGAAAGGGAGAAAGATATGAGATGAGAGAGAGAGAAAAGATGAGAGAAAGAGGGGAAAAGGGAGAAAGAGAGATAAGAGGGAGAAAGAGAGAGAGAAAAAGAGTGGGAGAGTGGAGAGATGAGAGAGACAGAGAGAGGGGAGGAATACCAGTTTCCCAGAGAAAAGAAAATATTGGGAGCCACAAAACCTGGGTAGACGTGGCTGGAGGGGTGTCATGTGACTGGGTGGGAGTGAGTGACCATGCCCATCCAGGTTTTGTTTTCTGTGGGAATTGGGTCCAAATGGTTCTTTGAGTGCTTAAGGTTGCAGACCCCTGGTATAGTGCAATATTAATGCAGTATCAGGGGTTTTCAGTTCAATGTATAGAATGTGAAGGATGTTGTGTTTGAGTTTATTTTTAGAATCATAATGTACACTGAAGATGATATTTAATTTAGTTGTACGAGTTGCAATGACAATAAAGTAAACTAAACTAAACTTTCATACTGGGTAAGATTTCTACTAGTGTCTTTTTTGCTTAGGCTTCTATTTTATTTATTGTTAATGAGGGGTCTTCTAAGTGTGTTAATCAAGAATAGATAGCAACTTATTCTTTTTAAGTAAGGATACAAATATCAAATATCAAAGAGAGATAAGCTATAGCCCGTAGGTTAGATAAACCATAGTCTGTGGTCAGCCAAAGTTACAAATTTAGTGGCACACAAAATATCTCAAATGATCCAGTTTTCCATTCTGGAATATTTTTATTTATTTATTTATTTATTTATTTATTTATTTGCCTGGGTGTGGGATTTTTTTTGCCAGATGTTAGCTATAGCTATTTTTCATTTTTATTTGTTTATAATATAAATTTCAAAAAATACAAAGACAAATAGTAGGAAAAATAGGGGAGGGAAAGGTGAAGGGAAGAGTGCAGAAAAAAAGGGAAAGAAAAGGCATTGACTTCCAACTCCCCTTTGGTGCAATAAAATAAGACAGTAACACAAACCTCAACTTTTTATTTTTACATAGTAGTATAGACTAGACATTTCTATATCAACAAATTCTATACAAAAAATCTGTCTAATCAGTAAAACCCAAAATCAAAGTTTCATTTTTTTCCACCTCAAGCACGAAGTCCAGAAGCAGTTTCCAAGTAGAAACAAAAGTACTTGTGTTTTT